TTGGATTGACTTGGCAGTAGAGTCAGCCAGGCAGAACAAGAGTTCGCAGAGAATCCTGAAAGAGCTGTACGAAGCAGGCAACAAAGCTGTTGGGCCACTAAGCGAAGATGAGGGAAGATATCCTTTTTACGTGTTATACCAAGGCCCGAAAGAGTCAACAAGTGTGCCGGTGGAGAATGTCACATGGGAATCAGACTTCGACAAGCTGGAGAAATCTATCCAAACTGCAGAAGCGAAAGCGAAAGCCGTGGACGAAGGAACCACGTGTGAAGAATCAAACAGGGTCGTTGTGTTTAACGAGCCCGAGCCGATGATGATGCGTCATTTGAGGCCTCTCTACATCAGGGCCACACTTGATGACGTACCAATGTCGAGAGTCTTAGTTGACAATGGCGCTGCAGTAAATGTGATGCCAACAAGGATGCTGAAGAAGTTGGGCAAGAACACTAATGACTTGATCCCAACGGAAGTGTTTGTGACAAGCTTCAATGGCGGGTCCACTTCTGCACGGGGAATCCTCCCAGTGGTTGTGGGAGTTGGATCACAGAAGCGGATGAGTGCTTTCTTCGTGGTGGATGGAATGATAAGCTACAACGCACTACTTGGCCGGGATTGGATCCACGCCAACAAGTGTGTTCCTTCATCGCTGCATTAGTGTTTGATGTTTTGGAATGAAGATGGTGTTGTTGAGGTGGTACAGGCTGACACAAAGCCGTTTGCCGTTGGGGCGAACGTTGCTGAAGCTTATTTGTACCATGGAGATTTTGGACCACTCGAAATCAGGAGCGGGGATGGAGGAACGACCAACGTCATAGTGTCAAGTGCACAGGTGTTGAGTAAGGCATGCTTGGATCCATTGTCCGAAATCGTGAGACCATCGATGATCACATTGGATGGTCCACTGAAGTCTGATGAACAAGTTGATGATGAGTGAACCACCTCGAGAGAAGGTGGTGGAGGCCGAAATCACGGCCTTGCGGGAGAAGTTGGCCGTCTATCAGTGTGAGCAGAGGCTGTCATGTATAGAGCCTGTCTTGATGGCCGACTGTGTTCCCGACGATGATGACTTGCCGACTAACGGCGAGGGTGTGAGTGACGAAGTGGAGAAGAAGAGCAACCTTGCTGCATGTGACATTTTAGAGGAGATCAACCTCGGCATGGAGGAGGATCCACGCCCAACCTTCATCAGTGCCGGTTTGCCAGAGTCTGACAGGTACGAATTAATTGAATTCCTTAAAGAGTTTAAAGATTGCTTTGCATGAGATTATCATGAAATGCCTGGTCTAGATAGGAAGTTAGTTGAACATAGACTTCCAATTAAAGAAGGTTATAAGCCACATAGACAACCACCTAGGCGTTTTTCGCATGATATCTTGCCTGAAGTGAAAAAGGAAATTGAACGTTTAATGAAGGCTAAGTTTATCAGGACTGCTAGATATGTGTTGTGGTTGTCGAATATTGTGCCTGTTAGAAAGAAAAATGGCAAAATACGTGTTTGTGTGGATTTCAGAAATTTGAACAATGCTACACCGAAAGATTTGTATCCCATGCCGGTGGCTGACATGTTAATCGATGCCGTAACCAGGCATGTCAGGTTTTCTTTTATGGATTGTTACTCGGGCTATAACCAGATATACATAGCCGAGGAAGATGTACACAAAACGGCGTTTCGGTGTCCAGGATCCATTGGCTGTTTCGAGTGGATTATGATGCCATTTGGATTGGCCAACGCCGGGGCAACTTACCAACGAGCCATGAATGCGATATTTCATGACCTGATTGGCGATCTTGTCGAAGTGTACGTGGACGACATCGTCGTCAAATCAAAGGTGACCAACCACCACCTTGCTCATTTGCGCAAAGCATTTCTGCGTATGCGTGTTCATAAGTTGAAATTAAATCCACTCAAATGTGCATTTGGTGTGAGTGCAGGAAATTTTCTTGGTTTTCTGGTAAACCAACGCGGAATTGAGGTAGATGGCAATAAAACAAAAGCCATCATCAATGTCGCACCGCCATCCAGTAAGAAAGAGTTGCAACGTTTCCTCGGCCAGGTAAATTACATTCGAAGATTTATCTCGAATTGTGCCGGCCGGACCCAAGTGTTTTCCTCACTGCTGAAGTTGAAGAAGGAAGACAAGTTTGTATGGAGGGAAGAACATCAACGAGCATTTGATGATATCAAGAGATACCTGGCGACTCCGCCGGTGATGAACTCTCCCAAAGCAGGGGTGCCGCTGAAGTTGTACTTGTCGGCCACGGACACTTCTGTGGCATGTTTGTTGGCGCAAGACAACGAAGCTGGTAATGAAGAAGCCATTTATTATCTAAGTAGGCTTCTGAACGAGGGCGAGAGAAAGTATTCCCCCATAGAGAAGTTATGTTTAGCGTTGTACTTTTCTTGTACAAAGCTACGCTATTACCTGGTCCCTTTCCAGGTACAACTCATTTGCCAAACAGACTTGATTAAATACATGCTATCTCGGCCAATTATTCATGGCCGAATTGGCAAGTGGACCTTGGCTCTGTCTGAATTTAATTTAGAGTATGTACCGCAACGAGCCATAAAAGGGCAAGCATTGGCGGACTTCTTGGCAGATCATCCCTGCGTTGAGGTACCAATCGATCCCGTAGAAGTTTGCGAAGTTGGTATAACGCCATGGATCCTGTATTTTGACGGATCCAAAACTCGTGGCGGTGCCGGGGCTGGAGTGATGTTGAAAGCACCATCAGGCCGGGCCATGCATTTTGCATTCTCGTTGGATTTTCCTTGCACCAACAACCAAGCTGAATATGAAGCTTTGGTAGTCGGGCTGGAAATGCTCATTGAGCTTGGAGCCCGCTACGTGGATGTTAAGGGAGATTCACAGTTGGTGGTTCATCAGGTCCGCGGAGATTTTCGCTGTATCAATAGCGTTCTAGAAACGTATCTGGACCATGTATTGTCGCTGACTTCCCACTTCGACAATATGGCGATCAACTTTGTTCCTCGAATGGACAATTGCGAAGCCAACTATCTTGCACAAATGGCTTCGGGATTTAAAGAGTTTGCGAAAAGCAATGCAGTAGAGCAAATAGTGGTGCAAACACTTAAGCCCTTGCGGGAGCGATTGAGAGTTGAGCAAGTGTGCGTAATAGAGAAAGACGCCGATGACTGGCGTGCACCACTGTTGTCTTACTTGCAAGATCCGAACAAGGGTGTTGACCATGCCATCAAGTTTAGAGCAAGGAGCTACGTAGTTTTGGATGAGACCTTGTATAAACGCAGGCCTGATGGGTTATTGCTGAAATGCTTGGGGGGCAAGGAGGCAATGCAAGCCATGGCAGAGGTGCATGAAGGGATATGCAGAGCTCACCAAGCCGGTCCTTCCATGCGATGGATTCTACATCGCTACGGATTCTACTGGCCCACCATCGGGCCAGATTGTGCCGCATATGCCAAGGGCTGCGAAGCTTGTCAACGTCACGGTCCTGTTCAAAGGGCGCCGGCGGTTGATCTGAAGTCAATAATCAAACCGAGGCCGTTTTATGGTTGGGCCATGGATTTGATTGGTATGATTTATCCCCCATCGTCAAAGAAGCATGTTTTCATAATTTTGGCCACTGACTACTTCACTAAGTGGGTGGAGGCCAAACCGTTAAAGGTGGCAAACCAAGAGGAGGTGATTTCTTTCATACAAGAACACATTATCCATCGATTTGGTTTGCCAGCAACGATAACGGCGGACCAGGGAACTGTGTTTACTGGGGGGCAAGTTATGGGGTTTGCGGCGGAGCGGGGGATAAAAATTATCCATTCCACGCCGTATTATGCACAAGCTAACGGGCAAGCGGAAGCATCCAACAAAGTAGTGAAAAATATTTTGACGAAGATGATCGAGGATAATCCGCGACGTTGGCATGAAATTTTATCAGAGGCGTTGTGTGCATACAGGATGTCCCCGCGGAGCAGTACGAGAGTGAGCCCGTTCTCGTTAACCTACGGTCATGAAGCATTCCTTCCCGTGGAGGTGACCGTCAACTCACTCCGGTATATGAAGCAACACGAGTTGACACCTGAGGAGTATCATGAATCAATGATGCTTGAGCTCTGCGATCTTGATGAACTTCAACTCCGCGCCCTCGATAATGTTCAAGTACAGAAAGCAAGAGTGGCAAGAGCTTATAACAAGAAGGTTCGACACAAATCATTCGAGGAGGGCGAACTGGTTTGGAAAGCTCACTTGCCGATTGGGGAAAAAGATCCCAAGTTTGGAAAATGGTCGCCAAATTGGCGAGGACCATTTGTGGTACATTCTGTGCGTCCTAATGGAGCGTACCTGCTAAAAGACTTAGATGGAGTGATGCATGAGCGTTTGATAAATGGCAAATATTTAAAGCCATATGTGCCGTCCCTATGGGACGCAGCTGGTCATTAATCCGAATAAGGACGATCAACCATGTGCTAAAAGGGTGTGTCCTCGTCGGCCACCAAGCTTGCACAACGTGGTTGAATAGTACGGTAATGGCGAAGTAGGCAACAAATGAACTAATTTGCCAACTCCGTTATTAATAAAGAAAAGTTTAATGCCTTTAAGGCCAGCGGTAGGGTTCACCCGAGTCCAGCCGGTGCGGTACCGCCGTTCGGTACCAAAATGTTTCTATCTTATCGAATGAAGTCGTCTTTGCTACGAGAAGTAGGCATGGGTAACAGCGTTGTTGGGCATAGACGATTTGGTACTTAGCGTAAGAAAATTAATAATGCTATCGTGGCTAGAACTAGCCAGTCAGCCCTGCTCAAACACGGCCGTCGAGGTTACAGCAACGCTACGGATTAAAGAAAAGAGAGCAATCGTTTGCCAAAATTCGATAAACAATGATGAGCAAACAAAGTTGTTCATAGGCCGAGTTAACATGGCAAATAAGAGTACGCAATCCGAGAAATGAGGCCAAAACAAAAATCCAAATTAAATTCCGAAATGCAAAAAAGAAATTCTTCAGGAGTCGGACGGCTCGTGATCGGCGAGCTGCTGGGCAATGCGGGATAGAGTGGTACGGACCAGAGTGAAAAAGCTTTGCACTGCTTGCAGCTCAGCCTGTGCTTCTATCTCCGCATGAGTCGGCATTGTACTTGCTCTAACCACCTGCAGAGCTGGTGCCACGGCTTTCCCGCGTTCCACTAGGTTTTTACCCACTGTGCGGAGGAACGCCATGTCAGCATCACTAAGTGGTGGAATGTTAACGCTCAAAGTCTCCAGAATTTTGCAAGCAGAGCCGGGCCATACTATGGTTTGGTCACTCATGGAAGTCACTAGAGGAATGCTAAGGAATTGATCCATCATCTTCAATGCTTCTTGGACTCGGCGTCGAAGTTCATTCATGGGCGAAGACGACGCGGGAAGGGAGCTAGATAATTCCATCGCAGTACGGAAGCCAAGCCCGGTATCAAAATCGTCGGTGCCCTGTCGCAAAAGGAAGCAAGGGCGTGAGTAGGAGGTTAGCCAAAGCATGGTTGGGTATTATGAGAAAGCATGAGTATAGCTACCTCGATGACGGTGGTGGTGCGAAGAGATGGAGGAGGGCGAGTAGGTGGATGATGACTCTCAATAACTGCAACAATTAAGATTTCAAAAGGGCGACGAACACTTACATGAGTAATGCCGGAGTTAAAATATGAAAGTCCAGCAAGCATAAAGAGGAGTGCGAGGACGAGGGTCGTACCTGCTCGCCGTTTCAAGCGAGTCTTGAATGCTGATGAGGTTGAACCACCATCGTGGTCAGAAGCAAGCCGGGAGAGGATGTCAGATAATGGCTTGCTGAAGAGGCGGGATGATAGTGAATGCCACGCATCCTTGAACTGGGGCAAGACTTTATTCACCACGTTTTTATGAGGAGGAAAGTATTGTGCAGAGTCTTGGTAACCTCGTATCTCCATAATTTGTCCAGCGGTAAGCTCCGAAGAGCGGATGTGGAATGTTGGGACGTGGGAGGTAACATAGGCCATGCTTGAACGAGGTTGAGTTGTCGAGCTGCAAGTTGAGGGTTGTACGTCTTGATACTGAGTACTTCTGAGCCGGTAGGAGCAAAGAGGAGGTCCCGAGCTGTTAGGTAACGTTTGCGTTCCTCGATGAACTCATGGTAAGCGGCGGCAGCGGGATCACCTCGTGGTGGTGGCTCGTCAAAAACGAATTTGAACGAAGCAGGGCCGAATATCCGTTCCGCGAAAGGGTTGAAGCTGGGAATCTCACTGACCCCATAAAAGAAGGTAAAGTAATTAGTGAAATCCCCTTCTCGAGAAGCTGCTTTAGCCAAACAATGGCCATATGTGAGCATGGTGGTATCTTGAACAGCCGTTTGGAGAGCTGGTAGAGGGCCGCGAGTCGTCGGGAAATAAGCATGCAGCCAAAGTTGTAGTAGCCATAGAGGGCCAGCACTGAGGATGCCACATGCGTCTGAAGCCTCCTTGACACGGTTCACGATGGTATGCAGACCGCGATAGAGGTGGCAGAGCACAATTTCATCAAGATTGACGCATTCACCAGTGAAGATTGCAAAGGTGGTACGCGCATCCGTGATGGGTTGTTGGGTGCAAAGCACGAATCGACCAAACCAGTAATGAAGGAAGGCAACCCGCTCACTGTCGGATACGGGTTCACCCAGAACGACTGGCGCGTTGTTGTTGTAGAGCGATTCGTAGGATCGGTCAGGAGCTATCGAGGTAGCTGGGGCCAAAGCTCTCCTTGATTGCATGCGCGGCTTTGACAGGCCAGTCAGGGCCGCTATGTCGAGCAAGGTGATCGTCATCGAGCCCAATGGGAGCACGAAACAGTTCGATTCCGTTGACCAGAAGCAGATAGCGGCTTTGAGCAACTCGGGATTAGGACTTGGCAGCTCTGAACATAGAGAGAGGAAGCGGTCGAGGCCTAATGCCTGCCATTGAGATGCAGTTGTGGCATCATGGGCCAACCGACCATGCCAACGTTTGAAGTCGGGATCCGGGATGGCCAACGTCAGGGCTCGGGTCTTCCATTTAAAAAGGGGACTGATATCGGGAAGACGAAACAGAAGCTGGGAATAGTGTATTGGAAAAACGTCCAATAGCTCCATGATGGCAGTGGTTCGGTCATGGATGAGTGGACCAAGACAGCCCTCCTCATTGTCGTCTCTCGATACTATCTCAAGAGTAAAGTCAGCATCGGCTAGGTTTCCTAGGAAATCCCGTCGTTCCCCCGGAGATAACGGGAGGAGAGTCGCGGCGAGGCTGCATTCGCAAAGAAGTGAGTTGGGTTAGTGATGCAGCGGCGGCTATTCACCACAACAGGCATTAACTGGGAGAGAATAAGGCTTCGATATTAATGTGGAGTTAGGGGAGCAGAACTTACTCGGCGATTGACGAGAACCCGGGCAATGACATGACGATGACTTCAGCGGCGCAGAGATCTGAGGTACGGTTTTCTGCTCCGTTGTTGGGTGAAGTTTGTTTTCCTTTTACGTGGATAGGTGTAGGGTTGGCACTCGTGACCTATTTATGGGGAATTGTCACGGCGGGGTAGAAAGAAATAGTGTCCTTTTTGGTTTAGGATTACGACGTTGGAAGGGATTAGGAAAAGGATTCTACCCGCATCAGTTGGCGAGAAGAGGATTGCCACAAAAATTTTGGTGTTTAGTAAAGCAGCATTGAGCCTAAACAGAATGTTCGCGGGCCGCTACAGTGTGACTCGGCCACGAGTAGAGTCGTTTCCCCCAAAATCAACGCCGCGAGACTGGTTGTAATAAATAAATAAATAAAAAAAAAACGAAACAAACATGCTTTGGGACAAATGGCGGTGTTGAAATTTTAAAACAGTGTTGGGGAAGGTTACGTTGTGGCAAAGGATTAGCTCAATTTTTTTTATTATTATTATTAATATGGCCGAATGAAAAAAAAAACAATTTTAGGCAGAGCCGCCGCTGTTGCTAGCAGCACGAAAAAAAAAGGGGAGTAGAGGTGGCCAATACAGCGCTGAGGAGGAAGTTGAAAAAAAAAAAAAATTTAGGCAGAGCTGGCGCTGTTGCTAGCAGCGCTGGTGAAAAATATAATAAAAAAAAAAAATTTGGTTAACAGCGGTGTAGACAGCGCTGAGGAGGAAAATAAAAAAAAAAATTATTTTGCAGCACTGCCGCTGTCTCCCAACAGCACCGGCGGGATATATATATATATATATATATAGAAAAAAAAAATAATAAGACATCGTTTAAATGTGCAGTGTTGCTGGGTGAGTGGAACAGAAGAAAGATTCAACTAAATCATGGCTGTCGACGGCCAAAAAACAAATTCTTTGTTGTTTTGAAAATTCCCTGCCTTGGCCTTGGTCACGTTCAAAATGGCCATTCCATTGTTTTGTTGATATTTGATTGGCCATTTTGGCCATAAAACAACTTGCTAATTGAGAGGATTTGATGCCAAGTTAGATATTATTTTAGTTGTTTGGATTGTGTCAACAATTTGGTTCATAATTCTTATAAACCAAATTGTGGGGACATTTGTTGACACCTAAAATTAATTTGGCCGAAATTAAATGCCACATTAATTAGTCTCGCATTTAATTCGATACCGCGGGTAAAAAACGGTGTCGTTTGGAGTAAAACGGTACCGCGAAACAGAAAAAAACGGTACCGCAACACCGGAAACGACACCGCAGGCCGAAAATAAAAGGGGCCGCGCGTTTAATGAAGGTGGGAGGAGGATTTTTTATTATTTAATTATTATTTTTTATTCCTTGTGAGAAGCGGCACCGCGGAGAGTTAAAACGGTACCGCAAGGAAGCTCAGCGGTGCCGCGGCATTGGAAACGGTACCGAAAAACAAAAGGGGGCCGCGCGGGTGGTTTCTTGTTGGAAAAGGAGTTTTGTTTATAATTAATTAATATTTTTATTCCTTGTTGGAAGAGGAAAATCGGTACCGCATGGAGGCAAGCGGTACCGCGGAGAGTTAAAACGGTGCCGCGAGAGCCTGACAAGCGGTACCAATGGGCGAGTGACCAAAATTCACCCGGCCCAATGCGAGCGCCGACTGCGGCGTTTCCATGGATTAATATTTTTGACTATATCGGCGGTGTCGTTTAATTCAAAACGGTACCGCGAGTAAGCCCAACGGTACCGCGGATTAGCAAACGACAGTGTTTAAGTAAGTAACAATGTCGCAAAAGGAAAAACAAACGGAGCCGTTTTGGCGCTAACGATGTTGTTGGTCGTGGACTAGTGATGGTCAGTTAATTAATATTTTAATGACTTCTTAGCACGGTGTCGTTAGTTGGAAACGATGCCGCAAGGGGAAGGAACGACACCGCGGATTTAAAGACGATGCCGCGAAGGGGCCAAACGGTGCCGCAGTTGTTAAAACGACAGCGTTAAAGTTAAAGCCGCAAAGTTCAACAGCATTACAGAAATAGAAAACGATGCTGTTTAATTACTAACGGCACCGCGAAGTGAGGGTTTGACAGCGTGTCAACAATGATGGCCGGTTTGATTAATTAATATTTTAAGGATCAGTTAAGACGGTGTCGCTTTAGCCAAAAACGACATCGTGGGTGTCGACGCCGTCGCGGTACTGAAACGATGTTGTTTAATAGAAAACAACGTCGCAGGGACGAGAGTTCAGTAATGGTGGATTTCGGCTCAGTGTCGTTTTGGGCCAAGTTGTCACGTACTCAAGCGGTTTCGCACTCGTGGGAGTTACGCAACAAGGAGGAAGTTACCTGCACGGTTGACAGGAGTGAAGACGTGGGAGACAAAGGCGCGAAGGCAGTTACTACGACGAGGAGAGGCGCGAAGTATAAAGATTGGGAAGAGAGAGAAGCTCGGGACGGCAAAATCAAATCACAACTGCACCATTGCAGAATTATCTTTTTTCTCTCTAGTTTCGTAGAACCGCTCTGTCAAAGAACTCCTTTGCAAAGTCGTAGATCGTAGCTTGTAGTCGTAGCCGCGGAGCTCTCCAGAGGAACCTCCATAGGAGTAGAGGTAACGTAACTTAGAACACTCCTGGTTCGATTTTCTGTTTATTTGTCGAACACCCTCGTTCGAACGTAGTTTGGAGAGGTGTTGAACCGAATAACAGTTGTTTGATTAGAAGTCAAAGGTGTATCGATCAAATCAACGACGCCGACACCGCCGGCGGCCATTTGACGATCGTCTTGATTTCTTCTTTAATCGATCAAATCAACGACGCCGACATTCGGCGGCGGATATTTGACGGTTGTGATTGACGTGTGTTTTGTGTTTTTCTCGAAAACTGTGCGCAGTTAACACACGAGTTTCGCCAACGAAACAGGGTCGAAGCTAATCAAGAGAAGCCGCCCAA